ACTGAAGTTCACATCAAATAGGCTTCTCTCTTCTGCCCCAATTTGCCATACTATGATTCTTTTCATGCCTCAAGGTCATGTTGTTTAGAAGAAGTTCAATCAATTATTAGAACAGTCAAATTAGCCTATAAAGCTCTAGCAAGTAAATGATAGGGAACAGATAGCTCCATTCTGTTCCTCCTGCAGATACTGAATAAGCTAATTCCCATGACATACTAATTACATAATTAAGATTTCATTAACAAAGGAAAAAATTGGCAGGGTGAGTTCACAATGCTTATTCCTAACAATGGACCCTAGCCTCTACAGCTGCAAATACCCTTGCCAAAGACTATATTATGCAACTGTTCAGATACTTTATGGGTTAGAGCAGGGAGTTGTCCTTCAGTGAAGTGTCCAGTTGAACAGTGGTTCTCAGTCACACTGGTGACCAGGGCCAGATTATGAAAGAGGCTTGGCTGGGAATGGGAGTAGCACCTGCAAATGCAGGGCCCTGCAAAGCCATGTGTTCCTTTTCACAGCTGTACCAGGTAAGCACCTCAGTCCCCTACCCCCTCCTACCCTGACCCACACCACCAACCCACTCCTGTTGACAAACTGGTCCCTATTTTGTGAGCCATGGAACTCCTTTTTTCGCAAACATTCTAGGTTTACTCCTGCAGTCTCTTACCCACTAGTGTAGTCTTTAGTTACGTGACTTCTCCCATTGATTTTAGTATATTACTCATGGAAGATGAGGTTTGCAACATCAGGCCCTAGTTCTACCAGGGGGGTTGGTTGGATCTCTCAGTTCCTGTTTATTATTGCATGACTACTTTATAATTACTACTTTTATTGGAACTGTTCCTTTATAATGTTTAACAAAAGCTTACTACAGTAAACTTCCGATAATCCGGCACCTTTAGGACCCAGGGGGTGCTGGATTATCAGATTTGCCGGACTATCAGAAGGGGGGCTATGAGGGGGGTGGAGTGGGGGGGATGCCACCCCAGACCCCTCATAGCCCCCCTTCT